GCAATACATCGAAATGTGAATCATGAAAAAAAAAATGAGGCTGTAACTTTTATTTCTAAATCATTCTCTTCTTATTATAGAAACTCTAAAGAAATAAAGCCAATATTATTAGGAAATACTTCCTTCTGCTTTTTTTTAAATATAGCATGATTCTTTGTTTCTTTTTGAAAAATATTCAATCCATTGTATCCATCTGACAATAACATCAAACGATAACAAGAGATTAATATTTCCTTTTTTATACTTTTTTTTTTATTTGTTAAGTAATGAAATTATTGCCAGTCCAATAAATGCAATATTAACAAATAACATTGATCATTTCACTAAACTTTATCTCTTTTATAAAATTTTTTTAATCGTATGCCTTCTTCATCTTTCAAATATCATGCTGTTAGTTATCCTTGTTTTAGAAATCTTTTTCTCTCCTTACAAATTCGAATATGATAATTACTTTATCATCTAATTCTTGTCGTGCTACTTGTTCTAATAACTATATCTATTGATATGCTTTTCAACATCCTATGAAATATTATCATCGTATACATTTTTTAAATCATCTATAATCAACTTTCAGGACTAATCTGTTTGATTAACAATTACATATTTATATGATATTCTTGTATTTAGTTATTTCATCATTAGATTGCTTTCGTCTATTGTGAATTGATTTCCAGAAATTTTATTTTATCTTTTGGTTGTAACCGAAAATTTGTATCCAATAAAATGTGTATTTAAAGAAAACTTCGTCATGCACTAAAATATTTATCAATATGCGATACATTTTTTTGAACAATTTAGATTAGAGAATTTTGTTTCTCTATCTTACAAAAATAAACAAATATAAAAACATATTCTCTTTTTTTGAAAAAGTTTACGCTAGAAAATATGACAATTTAAAGTAAAATATTTCAGTTTTCTTGCTTTTTTTTTATTTATTTCTGTAAAATACCAATATATCATATTAATCGACAAAACAAAAATAACGAAAATCATCACCACATAATTAACCATTTTAGGATGTGGATTTGGAATGGGTTTCTCTTAATTCATACCCTCCAAATTATAGATGAGTTTGTAGAATAGTTCTTTGTTTAATTTCAAACGAGTTGGACTATGCCTTTGTTCTGTTTTGTAAAAATTGTGTGTAATGGGACTATTTCATCTATAAGATATCAACTCAAGTTACGAAAAAACTTCATTTATTTCTATGACACATCGAGATGTTTTGTAAATATCTAGAATTTGTGTGACATCAGAGTCAACATGAGTTTGTCAAATTTTTTTCAAAACTTACTACGAGTTCGAGAGTCATCCTAATGGCTAATAGTAGTCGCAAGCAAGATCACCTTTGGCGACGAAAAATATTGAAAAAGTTATCTGACTTAAATGCAAAATGTTTCTGCTAGAAAAAGCTATCCATGGTCGAAGTTTTTATTTCAAGTCAACATTGTAATGTGCCAATCAAAAAGTGCTTTCCAAACTTTCATAAATTTATGAACTTCTCTTAAAATCTAACATTTATGTTTGACCGCCTCAAATCTCTATTACGTTCGACCACACCTCTTTTAGACTTTCAAAAACACTCTTCGCCTGTTTTTACCAGCTCACAGCACCATTGTGGTCTTTAAACAGAATTATGTTCTTGTCATTGAATGAGTATAGAGTTTTCTTCAAGAGAAATGAGAGTTGATTGAGCAAATGTTTCTTTGTTTCTACCAAAGCGACCATAAATGATAAATAATGTTATACTTTTCAAACACAGGTTGGCCAGTCGATCATACCGGGTGAGATACCTTAAACTCAAAGATTTTCAAACATGTTTCTCAGAAGCAAATTCCTCGTTTGTGAAAGCTTTTATTCAACTTTTATACCAGAACGCCCAATCATTCATGCGTGATAAAACACTGATACTGTATCGTACCTTGCTAGCGATAAAAAATAGCTGTTTTAAAAGGTTCAATGTAATATTTTCGATAATTATCTCGACAACTTTGCACTTTCATAAGCTTTGTAAGGGTTTATTATTCTATACTGCTTTTTTTTTATAGTACTTCGTAATGATAGGACTCCATGACACGGAATAAAACAAATTCAGAGAGGAATTTTTCTTTTACGTTCTGTCATTGACGATTAGCTTACATACGTATGGTACAGAGTGCCAGATATGCTCAAACATTTGTGCTAGTTTCAATTTGAAGACAGCAAGATCCAAGCGGTTAATCATCTTGTATCACTATCTAGCTGTCAGCAGAAGATAAAATGTCGCCACACTACTACTAGATTAAAAAATCGATCATGATATCTTATATCATTATTCAGTTGATAGGATAAAAGCAAGAATAGCATATATTATTTCTAAACTGTATAGTTAGATAGTGAGCAGGAGCGACAAATATGACGACCATAGACAAGTCGCAAAAGAACTCAAGTTGTATTGTACATTAGCTAAATGCAGTCAGCATGTTTGAATGTCATGGAACAATTTGTTATAGTGCTCCGAAGAATTGTTAGATGATAATCCTACACCGTCTGATGATCTTGTCAATCATATTATTACGACAATCGACTCCACTCTCTATCAAGATTGCAATAATTCGAGATTTTCTCAACGACAAAATCGTGTTACTCCATCATCTGAGAATTTACAACAATTCGATCGATCTTTAAATGCTCTTTACTCGATTCTCCAAAAACCTCGAGTTCAAAACATATCTGATCAAACTGATGAGAGCCTCTTCTGCAGACATCAATTCAAACTTTTTCCCGGATATTCAACCAAGACCGAGTGTAGAAAAGGATAGGAACTTGGACACAAAACTTTTTTTAATACCACCTCGGGATATAGATTTCGTCGAACTGATCCTAGTTGACAAAGTTCAGCGTGGTTGTAGACCTTTGTAACCCTTTCGGACTGTCAGCCACAGCCACACGACACTTCATTTCCTGGCTGTTAAGGAGATGCTCGAGTAATTGATGAATGGCATGCATTCGTCACAACTATACCATCAGTGTAGAATAACCCGACCGCTGAAATTATTACAATCACGACTACCACTACGAATTTATTAACAAGTATCAGTACTACCTCTTTGAGTATTAGCGTAACCTACGATCATACTGCTTCAACCTTTTCGATAGACTCATCATCATCGACATTCTCAATGCTATGTCACTATATTCGACAACTGAACCAACAACATCCGTAGAAGTCTGTGTTAGACAGATTCCAAATACAAAAAGTAGGGTACTCTCACGTGACAGTCTAAGACCATGTGATTATTGTTTATATTCGATCTAGCCAAAGTGCCAAGAAAAAGCGAAAGACATAGCGGATTTTTCAGTCACAATTGGTATGATTTGACGTATCAGTCATTTCACTTTGATCATCATCGCTGAGATAATCAGACTTCGCATGTGGTATTTCAATAACCGTCATAGTTATCAAGCTGCGCGCTATGAAACATAAATTATTACATTTTATAGGACAACCTAGCCGAATCTTGAAAAAGTCATGTTTGCTTGATTTTTGTTCTTACATAACATTTTCATGTGACTAATATCAAGTAGTAGAGTCTACTTCATGATAACTTGTATTTTCTGTTTGAAAATTTTTCATGTGTTCCTTTTTTTCTAAATTCATAAGGCATGTTATTCGAACTTATATATATATCCGAGTAAAAACAAGATCTACACCTCCACCCACACTCCACCCCACGTTCAAGTAGGATCAATTACTAAATCAATATTTGGGGGCATCTATCTGAACGGAATTTTTAAGATCAAGAACAATGATGCTTTTGCCCAGCGTAAATAAACTTTCTAATTTTTCACAGAACACTTATTCAGATTATCTCACAATATAGAGTTCAATGGTTCAATCGATTAAGGAACTGATCCTCTTTATTTAACGTTGATCAATTTCGATCAATAAATAAAAATTGATTTATTTTACTAAAATGTATTCTCACTCGTTATTTTATTTTTAATTCAAGGTCATCTCACGTAGCAATAAGTATGAGATTTAAGATAGCTGGCGTCTGACAATGATACACTTTCTTAAACACAGAAAATCAAATCGAGAGAAGTTATTGCAGCAACATTGGTTGGAAAAATGCAACTATGGTCATCCCTGTCAACCGCTAGATCATAGATACAGATCTTCTCGGCATATTCTTAGTCTCACCGAGGTCTACGTACTTTCGCCAAGATTCGTAAGAAGAAGAACAGTTAGAGAGAGTATGGAATATGCGTATCCATCCATACATCGATTCCAAGTTTTACTAAATATTCCATTGACAAGAAAAGCTACAAGTTTAAGTCTTTGACAAAATTTTTATTGACCTTGATTAAAAAAAGAAGAGAACATAAAATGAAAATTATCGTGATATGATGATTTTTGTATCATTGTGATAAAGAAAAGAACAATATACATCAATTTCTCGCCTGCATAATAATTATGCTTTCAACGAAAAATATCATTTTCAACTTTAAAATATCATAACAATAAACAATAATCATCATTTCTCGAAAATAAAAGAACACTTTTTTATTGATATTTTTGGATGGCTTCATCTAATGCATTTTTAATCAATTCTAATGGAAATGAACCTTGAATTGGTTGAGCAATATAGCTCAACTTTTTCATATGATCAATAACATAAAATCGTATAGGCCATGGACTATAAACTTGACTAAACGGATTATTTTTTGATACCGGATCAATTAATAATAGAATTCGATATTCTGTTGCTTTGATAAAATCATTTGCAATACGAATTCGATCATGATCACTTTTTGGTTGATTATAACATATGCGACTACCAATAGGCCTATTGGATTCAATTTTAAGATCAATTTAAAAAATAAAAGCTATTTTCTTCATCAACTCACCATTCATCAGCTGCATGGGCTTCTTCAATGTAAACAGTAATCATATGAACTTGATCTTGATAAAAATCCATTAGTTGATTGAGCTGTGGTACAAGACCACGAAATGGTGGTCAAGTATATGAACCAGCTATGATTAATAATGGTCGATTTGAATGAAAATAAGATAATAATGATACAAATTCACCATTCATATTCAATAATTGAATATCAATTGCCGAGTCTCCAATACGAAGATTTCCTTGTTTTGCACGATTATGTCGAACATAAAGAGATAAATTATGAAATTTATTATCATTTGAATATAATTGATGAGCACTGCGAAATATTCTACAACATAAATTAAGTATTCAAACTTATAATCAAATCATATAGTGAATTTTTTGACTAGTACCAAGATTACCAATGTTTTTTTTTCATAGGAATTTATATCTTTTATGATCGTATAAAACTTGCATCAAATGTCATATTGTCACGATTTATGTATTCTAGGTTCATGAGAAAATTATCATGTAACGATCACTTCTATATTCGTTACCATGATTTTCATTGTATGATAATTCGTTTATTTTTTAAAAACAAGAAAGTTATTGAACATATAAAAGTGTACAATCGGTGACGTATGAATGAATTAAACGAAGTAATAAACATCAAATAGAATATTAGAATTCATGAGGGGCAACGCATAAAATGTTTTCTGTTGGACTGGAAACAACACTAGTTTTTCTTTTGATGAAGGCTGGGATTGGGACGGAACTAAAAACGGTTAATCGTACTCATTGCAGAATACAAATTTGTTGAATATAGAAACAATTTATATATCAAGTCTAACCTTCATCAACCAACATAAAAAAATATTGTTCAGTTTTCACGGCTGACAGTGATTAGAAAAGCTTTATGTCAATTTTTAACATCTAACAAATGTTTTTCTGAAAAAATGTTCTAATGTTTCATTATAAACATAAGTTTCTCATTTTTGTCTGATAGGATAAAAATAAGAAGAGAAAATTAATATGAAATAAATGTAAATTCAATAACTTGAAGAACAAATTATAAATATCTCAATCCTTCTCTAATCATATCTTCAGAATTTAACATTATTTTATTTGTTAAGAGAAAATGTTTACCTTAAACCACATTGAATTTCATCTTCTGTTGCATCTTGACCAATTGCTTCTTTAATTAAATTCGTTTGTAAATCAGCTATAACATCCATCCAATCCATATCTTTTCGATCTTCAATACTTGATAATAATTGTTGAGTTTCTCGACTAAGTCTTATTTGTTCTTCTTTCATAAGTAAATCTTGAAGTACATCATGTTCTAATAATCGAAAAACTCGTAATTGTTTTTGAATTGTTGATTGTCATTGCTCATTTGACATATCATCACCATCATCATCATCTTCTTCTTCAATATCATTTTCATCTTGATTATCATCAATATTCGATAATATAATATCTTTCACATTTGGAAGATCATGATGTAAAGAGATACTTTGCATTTCATTCATTAGTTTTGAAAGAAGAAGTTGTCCTTGTAAAACAGAATTTTGTAGTTCAGCTGCTGGTAAACGTTCAGGATGATTCACATGTTGAAATTCAAATACCAAAACATTTTTTATGGCTTCGGCTGCTGCATCTGGCACATTGCTAAAATCTTGTCGACCACTCGTAATATGAAACATTCCACCACGTAATCGTAGTACTATATGAATCGTAGATTCTCTATGTATGTGATAGTCTGATAGAGTTCTGTCGTCTTCGAGTTGCTTTCCAGCAAATATAAAACGTTGTTGATCAGGAGGAATACCTTCTGAATTTTGTACCATTTTTTTGATAGTAGCTATCTCCATGTAGGCGTTGACGTCGAGGGGAATTTGTTTTCCAGTAAGAGTTTGCATAAATATTTTGAAATCAGAAATAGACTGTTCAGTAGCAGTCTATGTAAAAAAAGAATTCTTTAATGTAAAAAGAAAAAACAATTATTATTTACTTTTTCTTGGAAAATTTTTATTACTATAATACAATTATCTTCGTATAATTTTGATGACAAGACAGTTTCATTTAATTTCAATGTTCGACCTTCATTCCAATTTTGTCTAGTCATTTGAGAACCTTGATCTGCTATGAATGATTTTAATTCAATATTCGGCAGTTTTCGAAGTTTTTGTATTCGCATTTTAACCTTCTCAATAGTATCCGTTACGAGAACATGTAGTACCAATTGTTCAGGTGCTATATCTTCACGATATTCTATCAAGATATTCAATTCACCATGTGTAATAAATTGATAACCATCTGGATATTCAGAGACAGATAATTTCAAATAAGATTCATCCAATCGAGAAATAATATCTTGATGTATTGTTCCAATTTTGATCCATTGTTGTAGATATTTAGGTACATAATTCTTCTTGTATTTTTTAAATAATGTACTAATCAATTCATGATCCATATATTTATTAGTTATTGGATTTCCATATGGATCAATTAATGTTAACGATCGTGATTGTAATTCCTTTTGTATGTTCTTTTGATTTATGCATTGATCATCAAGATATTTTGTGATATTCATCATTTGATGCTGAATTGTTTGAACATGAAGAACTAAATCTTGATAAACAAATGAGTTTGGTTCTTTAGTTATAACATCATTCGATGACACCGTTAAATTATTTCCATCACCTGTCGAATTAGCCATCTGATGACGATTAGCTATCTGAAAATGAAGAAATAGTGATAGACTAAACAAATGAAAAGGCAAACAACTATTTCACAAAGCGTAATTATGACGGTGTCAAGATCGATAGATATGAATCTTTTTTTGTCAAAAGATGTGTTAATTATGCTGAATCGAAGCATCGAAAAATTAAGCTACTTTTCTTATCTTACTTTTATATGAACTAGACTATTGATGGATGCACTCTCTTGTTACACATATTGTTTTTAGTGAAAATGGACTTTCAATAGCTTAACCACTAAGGCAAAAATATTTCTAATTTGTCACATGAACTTTCTCGTCGATAATTTCAGTTACAAAAGAGTATAATTCAAATAGACAACTATATAACATCTACGATCTGAATATTTGCTTCGAGATTGAATCCTACATTACCATATAAGGAAACAATCAGCTGTTAATTATCATCATCTGGATTTTTATCTTCGTAAGTCGAAGAACTATAACAATCGTAAATGAGGTGTGCACTTTTCAGATTCTCGCAATCTTGCTAAGCTTCTTTTCAATTTCAACATAATGATAAGACGATGCGAGTGAGTGACTAAAGTCTATCAGATTCGAGAATTTCCCAACTGAAACTTGGTCGTTCAATATTTTTGAACTCGAGTCTTACTTTCGTACTCTAAAAGTTCTCAATGCAATTTTCTAATCCGAATCTGATGGCCGTTTCGAAAATACAATATATTTTTTCTGTTCAACGATTAGTATGCTCAATATATTCGCTGAACGATCTAATTGTGGTCCTATAATGATGAAATTACAATTAATTCTTACTCCTAACCAATAGCTTCAGATAGATGAAAAAAATAGATGCATGTATTTTAAAGATTTTATATTATTGTTTTTATTTAGAAAAGATTCTATTATAAATTATACTTTGTCATTACTAAAGTCGATACATGTAAAAGCAATGGCACAACATGTCGATACCTATGTCTCTTTGATAAAAGGGTACTGAACGAAACTATTTTTACCAAAAGATAGAACTTTTTCTCCTCTTTCGAAACGTGTATAACTTAATTTTATAGCACGTTCATAAATGAAACGACGCAATAGAAAAGAGAAGCATCCTAAAAAAAGAATCTGCACTTTTTGTGAGATTCACAAAAGCGGCGCAAAATGTGGATCCCTATATCCCTTCGATAAATAGGTTCTGAAAAGAATATGAAATGACACAAGAAAAAAAAAAGAGAGAAACACTCAAGCAATAAATTTGTAATTTTTATATGAAATCAGTAGAAACATCTTCTGAAACGACAGTTTATTATAATTAACTATTATCTACAACATATTTTTATCGATTTCATATAAAAATGATAAATTTATTCTGTGAGTATGTTATGACTTGTATCTTCTTCAGATGCAGTCATAAGAATTTTCCCTCTTTTTTTATAAGTTTATACATATAAACTTGTGCTCTGCTTCTTTTCTCTTTTGTTAGTCATACACCAATAATTTTCCCTTTCTTTCATATATGTTGGAATTTTTCCATTCGTTCTTCTTTCTTTCATGTTGTCCTATGGATATTTCCCTCCTTTGTTCATTGTTTATTATTACTCTATATATAGCGTTACGTTGTTGTGTGAGAGATATAAAAAAAATATAGATAGATAAATAAAAAATAAAGTATAGTTGGTTAAAGATCTCACAAAGCCGCTGTTATTCTTTCATTTATTATGAATATGAGTCTTTCATTTATTTTTTTATTTTTTTCTAATATCCTCTCGTGTAACTACGTGAAATTCCAAACCGCCTTTTTATTTTTGTTTTTATAACATTGTTTATAGATGGAAAATAATCTAAACGTTCATTTTATTTTATAAAAACTTTTCGATGTGATAAGAAAAAACTAAATACATACCCATGAATCGCTCAGAATATCGAACAATAGAGAAAAAATCAACTAGAAAATCACGATTTATGCCAAATATCGTCAAGATAATCGAGAAAAATCGACGATTTATTATGTTTCACCGGACGATTATCGTCAAGATATATTGCGATTAATCGGCAATTTGGACTCATTTTTAAGGACATAGACATTCATGCGTTTAAATCCAATGTAATAGATATAGAATCATGTCCGCTTGAATTTTTCCACTAGATGTAATAAACACAAAAACCATTGAAATGAGATGTGAACATCATACAAATAATATTATCAATGCTCAAAAGAACACCAGGGCTTCATTAATTCAGAAGAAAGACATGCTCATGGATTGGCATCGTTCTCCTATTTTTATACGACTTGTGAAAAGTTTTCATTAACTATGACATTACACTAACACTAATAAATCTAATCATCTCATTCTACTGATATTGTCATCTTTGGTTATTTTTAAAAGTGCTGCGAATTTTCAATGAGAGATTAAAAACGGAAAGATATGTCAATATGTTCTACTCTCTGCATCGAGATTATCAAATGAAAATAGTTGATGGCGAAATATTAAAAAGGAGATGAATCAGTAGGGAGAAGAATGCCAATAACTCTTCATTCCCGTTAGTCACTTGTGCCAAGAGAATACCTCTTCTGCAATTCAATATTGAATATGAGACTGTATATTAGTATGAGTTTTACATTTGAGTTCATTTCGAAACTATACTGACAAGTTTATATGAAAAGTGCTTAGCCCGTTAGTCGGTTCTTTTTATACGTCGATTATATTTTCGTATAATTTGTCTATCGTTTTCTAAATGTGATACAGTTAAATCCATGAGACTTGTTTTGATCTATCTCGGCTTGTTTCATATGGAAATAAAAGACAGTTGATGAGAACTCAATCTATATTCTAGAAGAGTTTACGCAGATAAAAAATTAGTGATTATTTCTTTCCTCTCTTTTACTTTCATCATAAATTAGTTTAGTGCACGTTATCCATTAGTGTGAGGATTAAGGGAAGAGAAATTTTCCCTTTTGTTGAACAAATCTTTCAATAGGAAATTATTCGAGTGCTCACTTTCATTTTTTTATGATGTTCAAATTGATAAACATCTTCTGACCAGTTGATTAAAAGCTCTATATGAAGATGATCTGTCGATCCTTCACTTCAAATATATCGATCAAATGAGAATTTTTGAATAAACATATCATCACAAGTAATTATCGTCACACCACTCAAATATTTAACGCTTTATTTCATTACAAAGAACCAATTAGACAACTCGTTTAGAAAGCTTTTTCATTAAAAACTATGTAAAAAGAAAATATTTTTTGAAGATAAAAACGTCTATCATGTTAACACCACTTTTAACGACATTGAAAAAATGAGACAATTTCGGTGAGTTGGGTGTGGGTGTGGGTGTGATGTGGGTGTGGAGTGTGGTTGAGAGTCTTCAGGTCGTACCCACATCCTTCCACATCCACACCCTAGAATTCTCCAAAGTATAAACTAAGAGAGATCAATCATTTTTTTTCCTTGACCGATACTTACAAATGTTTTCAATAGTTATCCATCCTATGAACAAATCTTTGTTTTACTTTGATAATTTTAATAAATAGTTTCAGAATGAACTAATGTTTCTCTTTTAAATTTTTTCAAGTTGAGATAATACAGAATTGATATTCCGTGAAAGAGGTTCCTTGTCGCTACTGTTTTATAACATCATTTTTCATACACGATTGAATGATTTTTTAATAAGTTTTAGAAAAAAAACTTCTTATTTCCTACTGGTTAAAAGCACAATCTGAAATAAAGAGAAGGTTAAGTATGATGGACACAATTCAATTGCAGTACATAACACAACAAATGAACATATATGTTGGCTTATTTATATTCATATTGGGTGTGATTGGGAACATATGGAATGCAATAATCTTTTCCAACGTCAAAACAGCATTTTCTCAAAATCCGTGCTCGCTCTACTTCATTGGTATAGCTTTGACCGATTTAGTTACCTTGCTCATTGGTTTACTGTCAAAAATTCTTTCGAGCGGGTTTGATATCGACCCAACAATTAGTTCTATCGCGTTTTGCAAGTTTCGCAACTTCTTCATTTACACTGCACCATTTATCTCGACGAATCTTACTTGCTTAGCCTCAATTACTCAGTTTCTCGTCACTTCTCGTAATATACATTATCGACAGAAAATCACTTTGCGATTGATTCGATGGACAATTTTAGTTACAGTGCTCTTTTGGATCTGTCTTGGAATACCCTATGCAATTCTCTATAATATCAATCAATCACCAACTACTAATATGCCTGTTTGCAATTCAGTCAATTCCAACTTCAATCAATACACAACATGGATGACATACAATGTATTGATCTTCATAATACCGGTTTTGCTCTTGATTGTCTTTGGATATTTGACATACAGAAATATCATGTCGTTAAACTTTGTCGCATTCAATCAACAAAATGTTACAGGACAACGTATTCAACGTCAGTTAACCGTAGTAAGTCAAATTCATCGCTTATTTGGCTCTTCTTTTATAGCTTTTTCTTTTTTATTCCCATAGTTGCTACTGGCCCAAATTGTTTTGCTCATAGTTTCTTCTAGTCCATCGGGAATTTATAACCTCTATGCATCCTTTACTGCATCTCAATCAAAATCTATCGATCGCAAATCTGTTGAAAAGCTGGCAAGCACTCTGTTTACATGCGTATTTTATATAAACTATGCTGGCAGGTAAGTTATTCTTATCAATAATCTCTTGTTTCTTGCACATCTTCAGTATTCTCCTTATAGTTTCTATGTGTTTTTATGCTCCTCACGACCGTTTCGCAACCAAGTCAAAATCACATTGCATAATTTATGGATAAAACACAATCCAGTTACATCGAATAATCTACAAAAAAACGCGCACCATATTCCAAATTCTAAATGATAAGACACTTTATTTTGCTTTCTCTATCTTCTTAGTATTGATCTTCTTATATTTTCTTTTTTTTTCTAAGTAATATCTGAGTTTTGTCCTTGTTCTTCATTCGTACACGTATTCTTCAACTTTTCTTACACTATTCGAGCTTTTTCTTTTTTAACACATTCGCGGCGATATGAGTATTGTTTTTTCATAATTTGTGAAAGGTTTCATTTTTTTATTTATGGTAGTTGTAATACTTCAAAACAGCTTTTGGCAATGTTTCTTTTATGGATATGATCTATGAGCATTCCTTTATCAGTGGTAAGAGAATCAGTCCCTTTGGTCACAATATGGCAGAGATATTCAAATTTTTCTGTGCTAAAGGAGCTTTTGAGTCGCCCTGTACTGGGGCCTACTGGTGGGCTCCATCGCCTCAAATATGTTAATACCATCTCGTCTACATTTTCTTTTTGTTTTGTTCATGTTAGATGTACGTGTTTGCTTTATTTATGCTTAGTCATTTCGAATTCATTGTTTTATTAGTTTTATTTGTTTTGTATTATTCGTTGTCTTTTTTTGGTGATGCTTTAACTAAAATAGCAATAAAGTGACGCTATCTCATTACTAGTGTGAATTTTGCACAAGTCTCATACATCCAAACTTTAATTTCTGGATCACATAGTATATTTGAAAAGACAGCTACGGTCCTAGGCAAGTCACCATTTGTTTCACTTCTAAACATGTTTCAGCTTGAAACATGTTTCCATGTCACACATATTTACATAGAGGATTAGAAGTTAAAAGTGCTTTCTTTTATAGAAATAGATTTCTAAACAATTCAATTCTACGGAATTGTATATATGCCTTTTACGAACATAATTAATTGCTTTATACAAATGAACTTTATTCCAATAAAATTTCGGAAAGATTTTACATTTAATAAGGCTGATTCAATTTTAATCGAAAAGTAGAACTGTATAAAGATCTACTGAATAAATGTCTATGCCCACGAAAAAAAATTGTACAAAAGAGCGTTTCAACGCAAACTTGAAGAGAAAAAAACGTTATTTTTGTGTCTAAACGCATCGGTTTTCGTTTACAATGCGAGTTTTTAACTTAAAATGCTGCCCAAGGGTGTGGGTGTGGGTGTTGATCAAAAAACACTTACACCCACACTCACACCCTCGAATTTCATCTTTGAGCTGCTTCTACGTAAGTGAATGGCATATCCAACAATAAATATACAGTTTCAGAATTTGAGATTCTATATATTCGAATTAAGACGTGTTTGAACAGTACCTGTTTTTAAAAGAGTATTGCATCTCGGAAATATGATTGTGCCAAAAATCATAGATATAAAGTGAAGTCTCTAAAAATAAAAATAAATTATATGTGATAACATATATGTTTTGTCGAAATAGTTATTTAATACGATATATACAATTTTTTTGAACACTAAGAATAGTAGATTAGATATTTTATTTACTACCTTTTGTTTCTTCGTTAATACATATTAGGAAAATCAGTAAGGAGCCTCATTTCTATTTTGCTTGTTGGTCACGAACATGTATAAAAGTGGCCACATAATAACTTATGTGTTTTTGAGGACGGTCTCTTTTCTTTTATCTATCTTTATGAATTATCTTCATTGTTTAAACAATGAAGATGATTCATAAAGATGAATAAAAGAAAAGAGGCCGTCCTCAATAACACATAAGTTATAATGTGGCTACTTTATACATGTTCGTCGTCAACAAGTAAAATGGAAATAAGGCTCATTATATTTAAACAGTTGATACAATAATTTTTTCTGATAAATGTCAATTAAGACACATTCAGTTTAATATTTCTGATGATAATTCGCCTATTAATATTCACCAATGTTTAAGGCCATTTTCTCTTTCTGTATTAGGTTCAACAACTAATCAAATTCAATTCTGTTGTTTGACAATTCGTTACTTATATATTTGTCTTAAATATACATGCTTTCTTGAACATTTTAGTGAATATATGAGGGGCTATCGGGACTTATTTTTTCGGGATTTATCTTTTCTGCGAAATTTATTGGAATAAAGTTCATTTGTATAAAGCAATTAATTATGTTCGTAAAAGGCATATATACAATTCCGTAGAATTGAATTGTTTAGAAATCTATTTCTATAAAAGAAAGCANGTGCTGAGCAGGACGACGTGGTGCTGAGCGGGATGGCGTTTTGTTGAGCCGGACGCCGTACGGAGAAGAATGACATAGTGCTGAGCAGGATGACGTAGTGCTGAGCAGGACGGCGTAGCGCTCAGCGGCATGGCGCAATGTTGAGCAGAATATCACGGATGTGGGTATAAGCTTGTGGGGTGCTAGTGTGGGTGTAGGCGTATGCGGTATGTTCGTATCTTTTTTGCGTTGATCGGCGTCCACAGCTATGCCCACGCCCATGTCGTCCTGCTCAGCACTAAGTCGTCCAACTCAGCACTACGCCATCCCACTCAGCACTACATTGTCTTGCTCAGCACCACGTCATCTTGCTCAGCACTACGATATCTAGCAATTAATTACAAAAATTAAATTTTTTTAGGGGTCAATGAGGTCATTCTAAGGATGAGCCGAAAGTCCCGGCCGAAAATTCTGTGGGCCGAAATTCATGTAACCCAAGGCATCGACTTACAACTCTAATTGACACCCGTTTCGCACTCTGAGCTGAGTTTGAAGAAAACAGAAGTTATCAAAATCTCGATCGACGGATCAATTGATATAATCTGAAAAATGAATAATTTCTAACAACAGATATAAGCAGGATTTTAAATAATAATTTCGATTAATCGTTTGATTCTTATTGCATTCACAACTCTCCTCTTTTTCTAATAATCTCAAAACTTGATAAATAAAACGCAAAGTTCACAAAACTTGAATTTTTGGGTGATTTCCTCTACGGAAATAGACTACCATATTCAAAGATGAAAAACTGAATGTTATCGATTTGATCATAGGGTTTGATTCTCGCATTGAAACAAGTATTTTGTAGCTATCACTTCTTGAAAGCATTATGACACAAAATGACAAATTCTGATGCATGAACTAGAGCAATCAAGGGTGTCGGTGTTGTCGAAGACGATAAGTGCACCCACATCCACAACAAAAGGTGCAAGTTTATGTTTTTCATACAATTTTTATTAAATCTTGATTTAAAAAGAGAGATCATAATATGAGATTTACTTTGAGATGATGATTATGTATCATTGTAATAAAAAAAAAGAACAGCATACATCAATTTTTCGTCTGCATAATAATTATGCTTTCAACGAAAAATATCATTTTCAACTTTAAAATATCACAATAACAAACAATAATCATCATTTCTCGAAAGAAAAAGAAAAATTTCTATAGATATTTTTGAATGGCTTCATTTAATGCATTTTTAATCCATTCTAATGGAAATGAACCTTGAATTGGTTGAGCAATATAACTAAACTTTTTCATATGATCAATAACATAAAATCGTATAGGCCATGGATTATAAACTTGACTAAATGGGTTATTTTCTGATAATGGATCTATTAATAATGGAATTCGATATTCTGTTGCTTTGATAAAATCATTTGCAATACGAATTCGATCATTGTCACTTTTTGGCTGATTATAACATATGCGACTACCTATTGGCCTATTGTATTCAATTTTAAGATCACTTTTAAAAAGAGGTTTTCTTCATTAACTTACCATTCATCAGCTGCATGAGCTTCTTCAATATAAACAGTGATCATATTAACTTGATCTTGATAAAAATCCATTAGTTGATTGAGCTGTGGTACAAGACCACGAAATGGTGGTCAAGTATATGAGCCAGCTATGATTAATAATGGTCGATTTGAATGAAAATAAGATAATAATGATACAAATTCACCATTCATATTCAATAATTGAATATTAATTGCCGAATCACCAACCTGAAGATTTCCTTGTTTCGCACGATTATGTCGAACATAAAGAGATAAATTATGAAATTCATTATCATTTGAATATAATTGATGAGCACTACGAAATATTCTATAACATAAATTAAGTATTGTAATTTATAATCAAATCATATAATGATTTTAGACTAGAACCAAAATCACTAACTCTTTTTCATAGAAACTAATATCTTTTATGATTGTGTAAAACTTGCATCAAATGTCATATTATTGCGATTTGTGTATTCTAAGTTCACGAGAAGATTAACATGTAACGATTATTTCAATATTTGCTTTCATAATTTTCATTGCATAATAATCTTTTTTTTCAAAAACAAGAGAGTTAGCAAACATAATGTTCAACTTTCACAACTGATAGTGGTTAGAAAATCTTTATGTCAGTTTTAAATATCTAACAAATGTTGTTCTTAAAAAAATATTCTAATATTGCAGTATAGATATAAGTTGCTCATTTTCTCTGACACGATAAAAATAAGAAGTCAAAAATAATCTTAAATGAATACAAAGTAGATAACTTTAAGAAGAAATTATACACATTTGAATCCTTCTCTGATAATATCATCAGTATTTAACATTATTTTATCTGTAAAAGAAAATTTTTACCTCAAACTACATTGAATTTCATCTTCTGTTGCATCTTCACCAATTGCTTCTTTAATTAAGTTAGTTTGTAAATCAGCTATAACATCCATCCAATCGATATCTTTTCGATCTTCAATACTTGATAATAATTGTTGAGTTTCTTGACTTAGTCTCATTTGTTCTTCTTTGATAAGTAAATCTTTAAGTACATCATGTTCTAATAATCGAAAAACTCGTAATTGTTTTTGAATAGTTGATTGTCATTGTTGATTTGAGACATCATCATCATAATTATCGTTATTTTCTTCATTGTCATTCTCATCTTGATTATCGTCAACATTCGATAATATAATATCTTTTAAATTTGGAATATCACAATGTACAGAGATATTTTGAACTTCACTAATTAGTTTGGAAAGAAGAAGTTGCCCTTGTAAAACAGAATTTTGTAGTTCAGCTGGTGATAAACGTTCAGGATGGTTCATATGTTGAAATTCAAATGCCAAAACATTTTTTATTGCTTCTGCTGCTGTATTCGGCACATTTCGGAAATCTTGTCGACCACTCGTAAAATGAAACATTCCACCACGTAAAGATAGTACCATATTAATCGTAGATTCTTTCTGTATGTTATAATCTGAAAGAGTTCTATTGTCTTCGAGTTGTTTTCCAGCAAATAATAAACGTTGTTGATCAGGAGGAATACCTTCGGAATCTTGTATCAATTTTTTGACAATAGTTATATCCATGTAAGCATTGACTTGAAGCGAAATCGCCTTTCCTGTAAGAGTTTTAGCAAAAACTTGAAAATCAGAAATGGATTGTCCGGTAGCAGTCTATACAAACAAAATCGTTTGAGGTGAGAAGGAAAAAGGTTGTAATTTACTTTTTCTTGCAAAACTTTTGCGATGATAATACAATTATCTTCATATAATTTTAATGACAAGACGGTTTCCTCTAACTTCAATGTTCGACCTTCATTCCAATTTTGTGTAGTCATTCGAGAACCTTGATCTGCTATGTATGATTTTAATTCAACGTTCGGCAGTTTTCGAAGTTTTTGTATTTGCATTTTAATCTTGTCAATAGTATCCGTTACGAGAACACGTAATACAAATTGTTGAGGTGCTACATCTTCACGATATTCTACCAAGATATTTAAATCACCATGTGTAATAAACTGATAACCGTCTGGATATTCGGATACAGATAATTTCAGATGACATTCATCCAATGGAGAAATAACATCTTGATTCATTGTTCCAATTTTGATCCACTGCTGTAAATATTTTGGTACGTAATTCTTCTTGTACTTTTTAAATAATGGACTGATCAATTCGTGATCCATATATTCATCGTTTATTGGATATCCATATGGATCAATAAATGTTATCGACCGTGATTTTAATTCTTTTTGTATATTCTTTTGATTTTTGCATTGATCATCAAGAAATTTCACGATTTCAATTATTTGATGCTGAATTATTTGAATATGTAAGATTAAATCTTGATAAACAAATGAAGTTGGTCCTGTAGATTGAACATCAGTCGATGATGCTGTTGAATCATTTCCATCACCTGCAAAATCATCCATCTTATAATGATTAGGTATCTAAAAATAAAGTAATGGTGATAAACTAAACAAATTAAAAGGCTAACAGCTATTTTACAAAGCATAATTATTAGAGTGTGAAGGTAAATAGATATGAGTCTTTTCTTGTCGAAAGATACATTAATGATGTTGGATCAAAATGTTTAAAAAAATCAAGATACCTCTCATGCTTCAAGATTGAATCATATATCACCATATAGGCAAACGATCAATGTATTAATTATTATCATCTGAACTTTTATCTTCCATAGGGTGCTGAATTTCAAAAATCACATTTGAAATGTGCACTCTTCACATTCATTATAAAGGCTTCATATTATTCCTTTTTATTTGAAAAAAAGTTCCATTATAAATAATATTTTGCTTTTATTAAATTTGTTAGGTGAAAAAGTAAAAAAGAGTATGAGTCAATCTCTAAAGAAGAACGAATTTGCCGATTTAACAAAAAACATTTTGATAAATCAGTCACATTTTACAAACGAAAAACAAATGTCCCACTAATTATGTACATAAATTTAGGGGGAGAGAGGCTGAACAAAATGAATAATATTTTAAAGAAATTCATAAAATATTGTTAGATTCATCGAAGTTTTTTCTCAATTCGGATTCGATAAGGTAACCAACAAGCTGAAAATCAATAAGGCCGCTACTGCACTCCATGCAGTCAGTCGTCTTAATGATAAAGTCGACGCTTTTAGAGACTATCCAGAAGTCTTGATGAATACTAACGAGATTCAGTGCAACCGGTGAATATAAAATGATTTATAGACATGTACTTCACTTCTTTGGAAATGAACAATCGTAAGTAAAAACAAGTCACAGACTTACGGTGCGAGTATCTTTAGATTTAATCCTTTTTATTCAGATTTTGTGAAAAAAGATGCTTACAGTCTAGATTTCAAGTTAGTCAAGGTTAACTACAGAAAAATGAATTGAAATCAGGAAAAAAATACGTAATTTTTGAGTTACTTATGTTGTTGTGTTTATTTTGTGCAAATTGGAGGCATGTTCTTACAATGATACAGGCAATTACATTGTTACTACAAGCGAAAAATAAATGAAAAAGAATAAACACTTGTTGTAGCCATTTATATTGTGTTCTAAGATGAGTCATTTATTTGAAAAAAGAAACACGTTTTCTTGTTTCCTACACTTTCGAAATGTCGCATCATAACATTATTTATTGTTGTTTTCTCAAAAAAAAAGGAAAAACATCGAGAAAAGTTTACAATAAAATACTTCAAGTTTTTCACGAATGAAATTTAACTGTTGAAATTAATTCGTTTTCCATTCAGTAGAAAACTCTCTTCATAATTACGGCTGATGTTATTATTCCTCTCTCTGTTCATTGGATCCATATCGTCAAATAAGCTCATTGAACTCTAGCGTATTTTTAGTATTGATGTATGCTTAACTAAAATATTAACGTGATGGAACAACCATTTTCCATTTAACGAAAAACTTTAAATGGAATATTAAATGAAATTACTTAAAAACTAAGCTCAGTAAGAATAATGATATTTCACTTAATTGTGTATCAAATACATTACACTATATACATATATAGATTTAAGAACTATTTCTATCCATTGTTGAAACAGACCAAGATTAAGCTATACAAAGAAAACTCAAATATCTACAACTTTGACAAAGAATTTTCAGATCAATTCATTATCAAATGACTATCAGATAATTTAGAATACTGTAATCAAAATATATATTTATAATTAATTTTTTTCTTTTAAAAACATACATACGATCTTTTTTTATAAAAATATATTCAAAATTCTAACTTTGAAAAATTATATGGTGCCAAGTTTTATGAATAATTAAATAATCTTCAGAGTATCATGGTTCGATTTAAACAAGAATTGAACATTGTATTAATAGAAAAAGTAACTTCAGACATGAACAAGTTAAAATATTTATCAAATCCTCACTTATATCGAGTCAAACAAAGACTTTACTTCGCTAAATTTTATAATATTTATCGTGTTTCATTGTTATTTTTGTGCAACAATAGCGAACGATTTCTGGCTTCAGAATGAAATCGATTAAGTGCTATCAATATTTTTTTTCAAGAATTTATTCAAGACATTGAAAATCTTGCATATTTCTTGTGCAGGATTTAGTACACCTTGATGGTACTGAAAGAAATTGATCACATGGAAAAGCTATTCAACACCTTTGGCTACATTCTCAGTCTTGCTTTCTCGTTACTTTCACACTCACGTTAGATGTACGTCAAAATGAATATTAAGATAGACAGTAAAATCTCACAAGATTTTGAAACAAAACTAATCTTTAATGCTTTCTTAAGTATATGCTCCAGTGTTATTTAAAGCGAACTATGAGTTTGTAAAGATTTCTTACATTAACTAAAGAATTTGGCTCTATATGAATAGATAAAAAATAATTTCAAGTGTCGTCTAAATGTAATTCTGATTTTTCAAAATAATCTTTTTTTTATATATGACCGTAATAAATATTCGCATCCAAGTTCTGACGATTAAAACTAGCACATAAATGGATATTCTGATTGTATTAGCATCACTTAATTTATAATTATTAAGAAACGAGTTGATCAAAAATAATTTTCATAAAATCAACATTAATTTGTGTCACTTTTGATTTATAAAAGAACATGAACTGAAATAGAAAATCTACTTAAGACATACCAGAAGCAGGTGGGTTTGCAGGAATGCTTGCATAGACAAGAACCAATCATATTCCCATTGCTTTAAACATTAGAGGTTGCGACCCTAATTATTTGCAAATCATTCAACGTTTTATAATAATACATCCAAAAAAGAAACGAAACATATAGTTATGAATTTTCTTCACCTGTATTTGATTTGATCGACGGCAAGATTAAAAAATAGAAAACATCTCTAAAAAATCCTAGATACAAATTTTAGATTAATTTTTTTCGTAGAATCCGAGTATTATGATCACGTGATTAGTTCTTTTGATCCTTCTCTTCCCAATTGATCATGTGACTTGCGAGCAGCTTCCTAAAATAAAGCTAATTCAAAATATAATCTTTTAAGAGAGAGAACAATACAAAAATAATTAGATTACTATAGATCAATATATTTTAATCAGTTTGCATAATGAACAAAAACATGAGAAATTTATGATATATTATTTGTTACAAAATATAATGTGTTCTACTGTTTTCTGAATAACTATCGAATATTTAAAGCTATCAAGGTCGAGTTTTTTGTCAAATATTACATCAAGTCATGAGACATCTATCTATCGAATATTCATTATCATTGAAAAAGTTTTTCTTGACAGTTTTCAAATTGATATTTTGTTTGTTGTTGTTTTCTCATTAGTTTTAACAGCGAAGTATATCAAAAAGATTGCTCGGAGAAGTCTTATATTCATCATGAAATTTTCAAAATTCTCTTTCGTTTTCTTGAACTGATTCTTTAAATTAACAATATCAAAGTTATAAAATTTCATGACAAATATAGAACTTCTCAGAGTGTCCTTGATGCAGATCACTGTAAAAACTAATGAAGAAACGGAAACAAATTAGGTATCATTTTGAAAATCACCATGAAAAACTTGTTCGATCATACTAAATTTTAAATAGAAAAAAATATCCACCGACTTGCTATATCGAACGACAAAAATTTGATCTCATTACGTAGCTTTGAACACTCGAGCGTTATTTAAAAAGCAATGGAGCACACTATATTTTGAAACGAACAATAGTTTGTTGTTTTTCGAATTTTGACTTTAACACGAATTTTCGTTGATCATCTGTAGTGTATCTGCTATTAGATGATGAGTTCATCTATATCATCTTCTGGCATGTACAAATTTAATAGAAAAAAAACTGCAATACCGATCTTAGACTAGGATAATGGAAACGTCAATTGATAAATCATCTACTGCTTACCGTATTTATAATAAGTTCAAAAAACTCCAGCATCGAATCTGTAAATTCATCATAAATCTGACGACTTTACAATCTCATCTATTCGTGCAAATTTAATGTGACGTATATATATATGTATATATATACATATATAGCACACATTGCACAATACACAAATCAATGGAAATTTGTTTTATGCGCAAGAATAAAGTAATTACGCTCATCATCGTGTCAAAGAAATCTAGTAAGTACATTGATGCAGTGGTGGTGAAATCACTCTTTATATTAGTCACAATGTACATAATGGAAGATGATGTATGAATTTCAAATAAATATTTTTTCTCTCTAGCTCGAGTGAAATGACGTCAATTGAGTCGTATTTTTCTCTTTAAGGCCTGCATGTACATAAGTACATAATAAAATCATATGTTTCGATTGTTTTGTTTCATTATTTCTGTACATGTAAAATAATATTGATTAGAACAAATAAACGAAAAAAAAAAATTTGTTAAAATAGCTTCTTCAGAGCTGAAATGTGGAACTCAAGTGTTTTCTTTCGTTTCATTATTGTCATGATCTTTAGTTGTGGTACATCTCTAGATAATTGCTTATGCTCTCTTACATGAGTGTTTAGGCAAACTGCAGTGTCGTCTTTGCTGTTATATTTTGAGATACATATGTTACTGTTGTTTTTTTCTTTCTTCGTTCTTCTTTTTCAAGGAGAACATTGGTATGTCAGCAAATATGAAATTGAGAAAGCTGTAGAGGAGTATGTATGCTTTGTTTTGGGTTGTATTTTTTGATTTTGGAGAAATATATTGGATGCGGAGATATAACAATTATACTAATAGAAAATAGATCAAGTAAAAAATCTCTTGTAGACTATAGTTGTTTTTTGCAACATGATCGATCACCCGAGAAACAGTCTCTCTTATTTATTTCTGCATTTCGAGCAGAAATTTTTCTTTCACTTGTACTCTAGTTTTTTGTTTGCCTTGTTGCTATTCGTTTGTTATTTTTTTATTTTTCGTATTTCGTTCTTTTGCAATCTAACGATGTGATTATTCTAAAGATTGGATTAATCGGCGAA